CCCGGGGGGAAAGATAATGGATGGGAATTTTCAGGTCTCGGATATTTCTGATGCCGAGGTTGGGGCGATGCTGAAACTCCCCCCTCACTTCTCTCTTGTCTTCCAGGCTCTTTATGAGTCTTTCCTCGAGCCTCATTGGATCGCTGCGTCCCAATCTTCCTTGGTCGACCGCCAACGCAAACAGATCTCCTTCCAGATCTATGTAAGATTTTGCCGAGTTTTTTAGTTTTTTTTTTTAACCTTTCCTGATTTTGCAACCTTTCCAGAGCCTCATCCTTTCCCTTCTTAACCTCCTCGACTTAATCAAGGTCGAGGAGCGCAAGGGCGAGATGGATGATTTGGAGGCCAGGCGTAGGTCTCTCGTTGATGAGGCTAAGAAGAATAGGGATGATGCCGTCGAGGAGAGGGATGTGGCCATGACCAAACTGACAAGCTTGGAAGGCGACTTGGCTGAGCTGAAGGCCAAAGTTAAGGACCTCACTCAGCGGGCAGATTTGTCTGAGAAGAAGTTGGCCGAGGCGATCGTGGCAGCCGAGAGGCGCTTTACCGAGGGAAAGGCTGAGGGGAAGAAGGACGCCGAGGCTGAGGCTGCCGCAATCTTCGACGCTAAGTGGGCGGAGATTATTGAGGAGTTCAAGACTTCTCAGGAGCTCCTGGATATCCGCAACAAGGATTTCCAGTCGGCGGGTCAGCAAATTATTGACCTAATCAAGAAGGAGCGTCCTGATTGGGACTTAGGCTTCCTTTATAACTCTCCTACTCCCGTGGGCGACGACGGAGTGTCCCCTCCCGGTGGTGATGAAGGGAATGCTTCTTCCTTGGGTGGCGGCGAGGAGCCAGCGACTAGTGGTGACGCTTAGAGATCCTCACTTTGCTTTTCCCTTTTTTCTATTTTCTTTTGGGAATCTTTGTAACTTAATATCTGCTTCAGACAATTTTACCTGCATTTTTGTATATATAAAGACAACAGGTTTTGTTTATACCTTGATTCGCGTTTGCCGCTTCTTAGAAAATTTCTTAAAATTTTTCTAAGTGTGTGTCCTTCCCCCTGTTTTTGTTTGAGGACTTAACGTCGATTTTTACCCCTTGGGGTCGTCGTCTTAGGAAATTCCTTAGAATTTCACTAAGTGTTTGTCTTTCCTCCTTGGAGGATCTTACGTCGAATTTACCCCTTGGGGTCGTCGTCTTAGGAAATTCCTCAGAATTTCACAAAGTGTTTGTCTTTCCTCCTTGAAGGATCTGACGTCGAATTTACCCTTTGGGGTCGTCGTCTTAGGAAATTCCTTAGAATTTCACTAAGTGTTCGTCTTTTCTCCTTGGAGGATCTGACGTCGAATTTACCCCTTGGGGTCGTCGTCTTAGGAAATTCCTTAGAATTTCACTAAGTGTTCGTCTTTAAGTGATCCGCGGGCGGACCCCTATCCCCCCATGTCCGTTTAATATAACCTTGGTTTCTTAGGCATACATGTTATTAAGGGGTTTCTTCATATTTTTCTGCAAATATATCAGTGTATTCAATTTATCAGAATGCACAATTGAAATACGTAAGAATTTCACACGATATTGGTAGTACAGCCTTAGCTGTTCGGCGTTCCAGGGGTGTTGAACTCTTCTGCCGCCGAGGCTTTCCAAAATGTAGGTGCCAGGACGTAGTATTTCCTTTACGCGGTAGGGTCCTTCCCAAGTTGGGCCCAGGGGACCAGTATTTTTGGGTTTTGTGCTCTGCGTTACCCTTTTTAATACTAGGTCTTCTAGGTTGAACCTTCTCTGCCGGACTTTCTTGTTGTAGTATCGTGTCGTGCGTTGCTGATAAGCGGCGAGACGTAGTTGAGAGTCGAGTCATTTTTCTTCCAACAAATTGAGTTCTCCATTCATGCCCTCTGCGTTGTCAGCATCGTTGTGGACAACTGTTCTTAGAGTCGGCGTTTCAATTTCTATGGGAAGTACTGCCTCGACGCCATATGCCATGGAGAAAGGAGTCTCACCCATTGTAGTTCAGCTGGTTATTCTGTATGCCCATAAGACCTTGGGAAGCTCCTCGGCCCATCTCCCTTTTAGGTCGTCGAGTCTTCTTTTAAGGGTGTATTTCAATATTTTATTGACCGCCTCGACTTGCCCATTTGATTGTGGATGGATTGGCGCCGATAAGTCTTTTCAGATGGCCAAACTGTCGCAGAACCTGCGTGTTGAGGCGTTGTCAAACTGTTTCCCGTTGTCAGACACTATTGAGTGGGGAACCTCAAACCTGCACACGATGTGATCCCACATGAATTTGGTGCAGGCTGCTTCCGTGGTTATAGCTAGGGCCTTGGCCTCAGCCCACTTTGTGTAATAGTCTACCGCAACGATCGCGAATTTAAACCCCCCAGGCGCAGGATGTAATAGCCCGATCAGGTCAACCCCCCATTTGGCAAAGGGCCATGGGCTGAGAATGGAAGTTAGCTTTTCTGGGGGTGCTCTAGGAATCGTGGCATATCTTTGGCATTTGTCGCATTGTCAGGCGTATTGAAAAGCGTTCTTTTTTAGCGTAGGCCAGTAGTATCCTTGCCTTAGAACCTTTAGAGCTAGAGATTGCCCCCCGGTATGATTGCCACAGATCCCTTCATGGATTTCTTGGAGGACCTTCTGGGCTTCGGCATCATCTAGGCACCGCTGTATAAGTGTTGAGTAGCCTCGTCGATATAGCAGGCCATCGTATAATAAGTACCTAGCAGCTCTATACCTGACTCGCCGGGCTTCATCTTTATTATCCGGCAGCTGTGCGTCCATTAGGTATCGTGTGAGTGGCGTCATCCAATTTTCACCTTCTTGGACACTTAATGCCTTTGCTTGCTCCTCGATGGTCGGCCGGTCCAATTCTTCAATGGGAATGACGCCTAATGTGTCGGAATACCTTGATGAGGCGAGCTTTGCCAGGGCGTCCGCGTTTGCATTTTTGGCTCATGGAATCTGGAGTATTTCGTAGTTTTTGTACTTAACGAGTTCCTCCTTTACTTTTCTCAGATATGCCCCATCTTCTCGTCGCGTGCTTGGTATTCTTCCTTTACTTGCGCGACGACTAACTAGGAGTCGCTGTAGATGCTTATCCTCTCGACCTTCAGGTGGTTAGCTAAACGTAGTCCGGCAATTAGGGCTTCATATTCCGCCTCATTGTTTGACGCCTTAAATTTAAATCGTACCGCCGAGGTAATCTTGTGGCCTTCGGGGCTGATTAACAAAACACCGGCTCCTGATCTGTTTTCGCTCAATGCCCCATCTACGTAAAGCTTCCATTTTGTAATCTCGGTTTCGTCAGATGGGGTGGGTGTCGGCCTATGAGAGAATTCAGCCAGAAAGTCGGCGAGCGCTTGCCCCTTAATCGCGGTTCTTGGCACGTACTTTATGTCGAACTGGCTGAGTTCTACTGACCATTTGAGGAGTCGGGCGGATGTTTCGGGCTTTTGTAGTGCTTGTCTCAGCGGGTGGTTTGTGAGAACTCGTATTGTGTGGGATTGGAAGTAGTGCCGAAGCTTCCTTGAAGCTACCATCAGGGCAAGGGCTAGACGCTCCATTTCGTTGTATCTTAACTCGGCGTCGAATAGCCTTTTGCTCACATAGTAGATCGACAATTGCACCTTTTCTTCTTTTCTTAGCAATACGGAGCTCACAGCGTGTTGGGACACAGAGAGGTATAGGCTAAGCTCCTCGCCGACGTTTGGCTTTGACAAAATTGGGGGTTTGCCCAAATGCTCCTTCAATTTTTGGAAAGCATCCTCACATTGTGGTGTCCATTCAAAGTACTTGCTTCCTTTCAAAGCGTCGAAGAAAGGGATGCATTTGTCAGTGGCTTTTGATATGAACCTATTTAGGGCGGCGACACAACCCGTCAACCTTTGCACCTCTTTCGGCTTTGTTGGTGACCGTCTGTCTTGTAGGGCTTTGATTTTCTCGGGGTTGGCCTCAATCCCACGGTTACTAACCATAAAGCTGAGGAACTTCCCCGACCCAACTCCGAAGGCACATTTCTGGGGATTAAGTTTCATGTGATATTTTCTTAATATACTAAACATTTCTCCCAAATGATCGATGTGATGGCTGATCCTGGCGCTTTTTACGAGCATGTCGTCGACGTAGACCTCCATCGTTTTGCCGAGCTGTTGAGCGAACATCTTATTCACAAGCCTTTGGTAGGTAGCCCCTACATTTTTTAGGCCGAAAGGCATCACCTTGTAGCAGTAGAGACCCCTATCGGTTATGAAGGATGTGTGTTCCTCGTCGGCTGGATGCATGGGGATCTGGTTGTATCCGGAATAGGCATCCATGAAGCTCAGCATCTCATGTCCTATTGTGGCGTCGACCATTTGGTCTATCCGCGGGAGCGGAAAGCCATCCTTTGGGCAGGCTTTGTTGAGATCGCTGAAATCGACGCAGGTTCTCCAGCTCCCGTTGGGTTTGACCACTAGAACGGGGTTTGACACCCAACGCGGATAATGGGCCTCCCTTATGAACCCGTTTTTGATCAGTTTGTCGACTTCCTCTTTCAGTGCTTCGTACCTTTCTAGGTTCATCGATCGACGTTTCTGGCGCTTGGGGGGAAATGGGGGGTCGACGTTTAAGGAGTGACATATCACGTCGGCGTCGATCCCTTCCATGTCGGAATGATTCCACGCGAAGACATCTAAGTTCTTTTTTAGGAAGTTTTCGATCTCGACTTTATGTGGCGGAGCTAAGCCTAATCCTACTTTTAATACTTTGGTCGGCTTGTTTTCATCGACTTGGATTTCCTCCAACTGCTCGACGGGCTGAGACCATGTGATCTCTTCCTGGATCCTGGGATCTAGGTCCTCGATGGGGGTCTGGAGAACCATTTTAGCTTCCTGTCTTCCTGGCTGGTCGTATCCGCGCAGGGCGTCGGAATACGCGACCCTAGCCTCGTACTGGTTGCTCTTTATTTTCCCTACGTCGTTTGGAGTGGGGAACTTGACCTTCTGGTGGTAGATGGAGGTTATCGCCCTTAATGCCTAGAGGGTTGGTCTCCCGATTACTGCGTTGTATTGAGAGCCTCCTTTGATAACCACAAAGTTGGCCATCGTTGTCGCCTGTCGGGGTTTTTCTCCCGCGGTTATAAGTAGCCGGATAGTTCCTTGAGGGATGACGGAGTCTCCAGTGAACCCGTATAGTGGCCTGGATGTCCTTTCCAACCACCCCTTGTGGATCCCCATTTTTTCCAAGCAGTCAGAATATAGGAGGTCCACTGAGCTCCCATTATCCACCAAGATTCGACACACGGTGTGGTTCCCGATCATGGCTTCCACCACCAGCGCGTCGTTATGGGGGAAATGGACTCCGCTGGCGTTATCCTCGTTGAAGGCCACGTCAGTGTGGCTGTGCTTTGGGGTTTTTGCGGCGGAGACGCTCCAAAATCGTTCCTGGTAAACCCCCTTGGCCTCGTGGGCGTAGTCCTTCTGTGACCTCCGCATGTCTCCTCCTATGTAGGGGCCGCCGAGGACCGTTCGTATGACACCAACAGGTTCCCGATCTTCTGGGCGATGGTTCTCCTCTTGGCGTCTGCCGTCATTTTGCCCGCCATGGCCGTCGTTGCGGGGTCTCCGTTCGGCCCTGAATTCCTGCAGCCTTCCCTCGCGGATTATTCTTTCGATTTCATCCTTGAGGTCAGCGTAATCATTGGTGTGGTGGCCGACATCGCCATGGAACCTACAGAATTTCTTCGGGTTCCTTCGGCTGGGATCCGACTTTATTGGTTCTGGTCGGCGCAGCAAGTTTCCGCGGCCGACCTGGTTGTAGATCTCCTCGACGCCTACCATTAGTTCATGGTAGGTGTCATATTTCTGAAACAACCGAGGCCTGCGGGCATCCTCCTGCCTTGGCTTCTTGGCCTCTGGTGTTCCTTGTGTCGGGGTTGGTTGCTTGTCTCCGCTTCCCCCTCCTCGACGCTTCTTTTCGTCCTGCTTTGATGGCGCCGACCCCTGCTCGGCCCCTTTACCCTTATTGGACCTATGATCAGGGTCGTTAGCATCTGCTTCTTCAGCATTGATGTATCCTTGTGCTCGTGCAAGGAACTCCTTATAGCTGGACGGGGGTATTCGATTCAGTTCCCTTTTGAAGGGAGTTATTTTCTTCATGCTGGATAATGCCCCCATCAAGGCTTCTCTGTCCGTTATATCCATTGTAGCGGTGACAGCCTCGCCGTATCTGGCAAGCCACTCTCTTAACGTTTCATTTGGCTTTTGGTATATCGTCGTTAAATTCTGCTTCGGGGGTACGTATTTTTTAACTCCTATAAACTGGAGGGAGAATGCTTCCTTCAGCTCATCCCAGCTGGAGATAGAGTTTGGCTTTAGCGTCCGGAACCATCTTCGGGCAGAGTCTGTTAGGTGGTTCCGAAAGGCTCGGCACATGATCTCCTCGGCGTATCCATGCAAGAGCATATGCCCTGTGTACATTTCCAAATGGTCGTCGGGATCTCCTCGCCCGTCATATGGTGGGATCGACGGCGACCTGTATTTGTCGGGGAGAGGAGGCGCCATTATTTCTGCGGTGAATGGATGGTCATGCGTGCGACTGGGCGTAATGTCGACGTTTACCACCTCGGCCACCCGTCCAATGTTCTTTTTCAGACCTGCCACGTCCCCCGTCAGTTTTCTTTCCAGGCTGACCATGCGTTCCATGAGGGTTCGCGCTTCCTCTATTGAAACGGCCGAGCCAGCAGCTCTCGGCACTTCCGTCCTTTGAGCAATGGGTCCGCCCCTGGCCTGGCCGCCCGCCTGTACCGACCCTGAGTCTCCTGGCTGGTTTCCTCCAGGATTTTGGGGCAGCTCCTCAACACCTCGGAGTCCGGCGGCTCTTAATCGGCTGCCGGAGGAATAGGAGGGTCGAGGCCTAGGAGGGCCTTGGTGGTTCTCGCTTTCCCCGATTCCCTCTTGGATATGTGGGTGGTTACCGTGATTCAAATTTTCCACCACGGCAGGTCCGTGCGGCCTCGGGGCATCTTCTAGTGGCGGTATGGAGTTCCTTCCATCTAAGCGCTCAACCACGGTCACCAGCCCACGTACCAACTCGGTCAGAGTGGTTATTTGGGCTTACATATGCATGGGATCCGGCCGTGGTGCGTCTGGAGGTGGGACTCCATTTCCGTCTAGGTGCAAATCTTCTCCCATCCCGCTCTTCTCTGGGTGGATGGTGGTCTGTAACTATATTTTCGGGGGTCGAACGCTTCGATCCCCAGTGGAGTCGCCAATTGTTGACGGTTGAATTTCGTCAACAAAAAACCGGCCGTCTTACCTTGAGGTTTCCCTTCGGGTTACCGGCCTATGTGTTTAGTGAAAGAGTAGATACTTGTTGGATGTGAGTATTTGTTTGTTAAATGAGCTGTATGTAAACGAACAAAAGGAATTTTGTAGTGGTTCACTCTTTAAAATTAGAGCTACATCCACTGTAAGTTTTGTATTTTTCTTTTGAGAGGGCAACCATTTACAAGTTATCACTCTCCCTTTTTCTCTTGTGTTTTTTATTCTCTGGCCCCTCTCTCGATGGGGGTCTTCATCCTCTTATACTGGGCTTCCTTCACCCAGTGGTTTTCTTTGATCGGTGGAAACACTCAAGTGTTCTACCTTGGTAGGCCCAGATGTAGCCCACTAATCAGCACTGTTCACTCAGCCAATTAGTCTTCTGTTACGGCTCTGTGATTCTCCGTAATGCTTTTCTGTCCCCTGTGGGGCGGTTTGAGAATTTATAATTAATGCTGATAGACGTCTTCCACTTATGCACGCAACCCGTCACGTCTCAAAGGAACGTTCCCCTCGTCGCCAGCGCCATTTAGCCCCAGTCGTCTTCTCTGGCGGTCCTTTCTGTAGCCGAGGAATATCCATACCTTAATTCAAGCGGCATTATCCGTCGGCGCCACAAGGGATCGTCGCCCTAATCCGGACTTTAACTTTGGGCTTTGCAGCTAATTAGGAAGAAAATGTGGGCGCCGAGGGTTGTGTGCCTAGCGGAGAGCAGTTATGGCCACGTGTCGTGGTGTCATTGATCCAGGTGTCCATCACATTTTCCCACACAACATTTGACTTTACATGATAGCTTCTTACTGTAGTAAAAAAATTATATGTGATTATTTTTTTGAGTTTTTTACTGTAGCAAAACTCAAATTCTAAACTCGAATCGATAAAATGAGCGGGGCCTAAGTATATACCTTTAGTCCAAACCGTTGAATTTTGATCACATGGTTGAAATAGTGTACATTATCAATGCGTAAAAACAACACACGGTACTATAGTCATTCCCGAAAGAAAGAAGCCAATAATTTGCCAGCATATCAAGACGAATCCATGCACCATCCAGCTAGCAAAGACACTAACATATAGGTTCAACTGTATAAGTTAGGTGTTCATTGTAAAGGAAGTTGTTTTTATTATTCACAAACGCCATCGTTAACAACAAAGAGGAGCTAAACTGCTATAAAAAGGTAATTTATTCATGTTATCTCGTGATGCCATTTGCATGAAAGCAGTGGTCAACCTAAAAACGACGACACGACCGATTACCAAAGGTCAAAATTCGCACACGAGGCGAGGGGAGGAAGGCACTTATTTTGACTGCATACTCACACTCGTTTTCTCCTTTGACTATTTTACAGTGTCAAACGACATCGTTTGGATAATATAGACAGCAAAATTAATTTCGGCGACAGCACGGACGTTTAATATATGTTTTATTTTTGTCCTTTTAAAATCATCTGACCGTGGAAAAAAGCCCTCTTTTTGTCCTTATCTTGTACATTTTCTTTTTTTCTTTTTGGCTAAAAAATATACACAGTTGCCATCATCAGCTTCTTTCCCAGCCTTTATTGGCCATCGTCGTCGACGAACCGAAACCTTTCCTTCTCTTACCTCCATGTATCTCTCTGTTTTCTAATTTTCTTACATTCACAGGCCTAGATTTTTCCAAAATGAACTGTTAATCTCGGAGAAGATTTTCGTTTGACGAGATTGGAATCGTTTTTTTCTCTCTAAATTTGGAAATTTTGCTCTTTTTGGGTGTCGAAATCGGATCTATTTCTCGCTCCTCCATACTAGCTTTTGTTAATTTGTTAGTAACATTTTGAATAGCCCAAGCACGGCGGTGTTTCAGAATGGCAACGAGTTTTGATCGGTGGGAGAAGGATCCCTTCTTTTCTGCGGCTGAGGAAGTTCAAGAATCCGCGGACAGGTTTTTTTTTTTTCTTCTCTCTCTAGGGCTTCCTGGACTCTTGCTTGTGTTCTGGTGAAATTAGTTATAAATTTGTTTCTCTAATTTGTTTGGTCGACAAGATAATTGCGACGAAGACAGGAAACGATTAGAAGATAATTATGTATATATATTTGTTTGGTTTGAGATGTTATTGAAAAAAAAAAAAAAAAAAAAAAAAACCCTTGTGGGAGCGATTTATTGATAGTTTTTTAAATGGGTCCGGAATAATGGAGAATTCCGGATTCAGAATTCGACATTGTAATTGTTTCCCCTTATATCCTAAATACCTGAATAATGGACTAAGGGGTATGCTTTGGGTTGTGATTTTGGTTCTTCGTTCGTTTCTGCAACTTCTTTGTCACATAAATGAATGATTGTCGTGTGTTGATAAATTTTGTTTTTATGGTATTGAAGGATGGAATCGACATATAGAACATGGATGCACGCTAAGAAAGACGCTTCTAGTATGTGGGACGCTGAGGAACTTCGCAGGGATCTCCGAACTGCCCTTGGGACTACCAAATGGCAGGTAACCTCTCCTTCCCTTGCCATGTGAAATGTGTGGCCTGTGCTTGAAATTTAATTGTTTGGTGTTATGGTTGTTTCAATGATTTGAGTATGTGATTCATTTTTGTCTGGTCGATGCAGTTAGAGGAGTTTGAACGGGCAGTTAGGTCAAGTTATGTTAGAAGCTCAAATGATGACGCAAAGGACAGACACCGAGAGTTTATTATTGCCATTGAGAACCAGATTTCGAACGTTCAAAATTCGTTAAAGGAACATTCTCTCTTACAGGGAAAGCCTCCTCTGCCTTGGGTTCGTTTGGATGAAGGAGAACGAAATGAGCTGGCACTGTTTCTTTCAGGTCCTCCGAAGGCTGCAGACAAAAATCCTGTTAAAAGTTGTGGCTGGGACAATGAAAGACTTCAAGCATTAGATAAAGAATCCGCACTAGAGTGTTCGAAGAGTTCAACCCGCTCTGCTGAGAGGGGTTCCCAGGACACTAGGGAGGAAAAGTCACTGGAGGTCGAGAAGTTGCACGGGCACAGGAGGACGGCTAGTGCTAGTGCCGACATTGGTGCATGGAAAATTAAAGTATTTGATGATAGTTTCGCACCTAGTTCGTCAAACCAGCTACGTGACCAACCCGTGCGGAAGATACCAAGTTTGTCTGGGTTCCTTAGTTCCATGGAATCAGCATCCGGTTTAAAGTGTTCAAAGAATGGTTTCAGGAAGTGGAAGGCAACTGATAGTCATCAGGAAGCTGATATTGAATTGCTACGACCTACGCAGTTGACTAAGGTGTGTATTCAAATAGAGTCACAGCCTGCTTAAAGCCTCTTGCTTAACTTTTACATATGCCTTTCCCCACTAATGATTGTGATTGTTATTTTCCGTAAAGGGCATTAATGCATGCTATGAAAGAAGCAAGAGTTGTTTGGATAGTTGCGATGATTGCTATGAAAAACAACTTTATGGCTGGTATGGTGCTATTCAGAGACAGCTTCAAAGATCTCAGTATCAGATGCAATATAGCCGCCCTGTTCAAATAGCCATTTGGGTTATCCTTCTTCTTTGCTTGATTGGTAAGCTTTTCTTAACTTTCTCACGTACTCTTTGCATGTATTTTCACGTGTCTCTGTAGGATGCAGTATTTGTATTTGTATTTTTTTTTTTTTTGGTTACTAGAAAAGACGGCGCACTTGGAAACTATTCTTGCTTGTCATTAAACTTGAACTATCGCGTATCAAAGTTTCTTTTCATTATAAACGTTGCAAAATTTTCCACCAAAGGATCTTTCGCGCATAAAGTTGTTTGCTTTCCTTGACTTTGCACATATGTGGCATGCATATTTTAAGTTACATTACGTCATTTGTTTGGCTTGATGTTTCAATTTGGTTCACTCATGGCTCATCATTAGATTTCTTTCTAGCATTGACGGGTGTTTAGTTGTACTCATGACTTGGAATCATGAAAGAATTGTTTGTTTTTATTTATTTTGGGCTGGGTACAAAAGGAAACTTTCCCTCTCCCCAGTGACCTCGAAATACGTCTCATCTCTTAACCAGTCTCTGGTACTTTGGACGAATAGACAACATGCAGGTCTATGGTTACATAAGGATTAATACTGTATGGTCTATTTTAATTGTATAATTTGTGCTATAGATAAATTTTGACTATACTATAATTACGCATAATTTTGAGCCCAAGATGGGAATTTTGTTGAAAAACGTCATTTATCGTTTTACTAATTTAGTTTACTCCATTGTTTGTTCATAAAAGGTTTGTGCGTATTTTGGTTACTCTGCAGTTTTAGTTTTGTTGCGAGCAGTGTGAGGCAGGCGTCATCCTTGGTTTAGTTCAAGGCGATATGCGGGCACGGAATTTTCAGGAGTAGGATATCTCTTGATAGAGATAGGTTGGTGTTTTCATGCTTTTTCTTGCGTGTAGGATTTATTAGCACGTCCTCACTTGATAGGGAGTTAAGCTTCCGCCTTCATTGATTATTTCTTTTTACTGTTTCTCCTGTTTCCTTGTGCAATACCAATTTCTTTGATCAAGGGTAATACCATTTTAGTCATAGATGATGTAGCAGAGAAACCAGGGAAACGCTTGTAAGCAAAGTATCACACCAATTTGCTGTACAAGTACTGGAATTACTGTAGTGTGCGGAATTTGAGATCTTCCCTTAAGATCTCCCTTAAATTTATTTATTTATTGCCAAAAAGAACTTTTGTTACTGTATAAGTATGTAAATCAGTATGGAAATGGCGCAATATTTTCGTTATGCAATTCACTTTGATTCTTGAGGCTACTCTTATTTATGGTTGTGAAACCGTTCTCCATTAAAATTGCATGTTTGCTTTGTGAATCGTTATTGCAGGGGCGGTTCAAGGGTAAGGCCACTAAGGCTATTGCCATAGGCCCCCCAATGAGCCGAGGCTCTATCTTTCTATTTCTTACATTTTTTTTGGTAGTACTTTCAGAAAATAATCTTATTGTGTATATTTTCTAGTGTATTCAAGTGAATTTTTTAAAATTTAATCGCGTTTTGGGGAAATAAAAGATTGTAATCAAGATAGAGCATAATCTCAAAAATCAGTAATTGCTACTAATATTTTATTATTATTGCCACTTAATTCTCTTCATTTGAAATATTGATATTTCTTATTTTGCTCTAAGCACCCAGATTTCTTCTCCTCACAAAAGAAAAACAACCTCTAATAATACAAGTTTTTCATTTCTGATTTCCCATTCCTTCTCAACATTTATTCCAATGCTATTAAAAAAAAAATTCCAACAGTACAATTTGAAGGTTTTTAGTTCAATATTTGAATAATTTTGTACTAGTTTTATTATTCTTAATTTCGTCTTTGAGATTCATATCATATTTTATCTATTGTCTTGTTTGAATAGAAATTTTGTTATTTGTCTAACATACAAGGAATTTAAGAGAAAAATTTAAAGAACAAAAAATTTTATTAAATCCTAAAGAGAAGTTCTTGATTAGTTTCTAACTAGCAATAGAAAATATCCAATATAAGTCAAAGTTTAAGTTTAGTAGCCGAAATATATGAATTAGGAGTATGATGATCGTAGGAAAAAAAAAATATTAACAATATAAATTAAGATCATACCTAAAATCCACACTATAACAGAAATTGTTAAATTGATTAGTCAATTAATCTACTAAATTCAAGATATATATTAGCAACTCTTGAATCTAAAAATTTAATCATAATTTTGCAGTTTAAAAAACAAAACAAATATATATATATATATATATATATTTTTTTTTTAAATATAAAAATGCATTAATTTTTCAAAAGCTTCTTTATACAATTTCGCTTAAAGTCTAGAGTCACCTTGAAACTGGCCCTGCGTTATTGCTGTCAATAATGAAAATGCATCATGGGAATGCATCATTATCATCATCATCATCACTATTAGTCTATTATTATAAGACAACACGAGAACAAAGGGTAGAAGGCATGTGAATTTCGAACTTTTTTTTTTTTTTTTTTTTTTCAGAAGTACATTTTGTCCTGTCTTTCTTGTAATGTATGTGTCGATTACGTCGTTTAATCCAAACATTTTGTCCTGTCCTGTTTTCTTGTAGTGTATGTGTCGATTACGTCGTTTAATCCATACATTTTGTCCTGTCCTGTCTTTCTTGCGGGCATTACGTCGTTTAATTGTCGTTTTTTTATTTCAAAACAAGATATCGTTCACCAATGTAATCCAAATATCTCGTGTGTTCAATTCTTTTCGGACTTGTGTTGAACCACCTGCAAGGGAGTGAAACCTTTTGGTTCCACCATAGTTGATGCTTTCGTTTTGGACATTAGAAGGAAAGCTGCCTCCTAAGGGAGTAGGTATGCACGCCTCCCTTCGTAGCCAACGAGAGAGAAGCAAGAAACTCAAGGTAGATAAGATTGGAGGCTGATTGATTTTTGACTGTCTATTAGCTCGTCACAATAACGAAGCAGGTGAAAAATATAAGACGTAATTAAGGTAAGGATAATAACACAGAAAAATTGCTATTATTGTCAAGGAAACGTTACAAACTGGCAGTCAAATAATGAAGAAACAAAAAGTAAAACATGTTATTGCCAATATTGTTTCAGCTCCACATGCTTAAACTTGATTCTGGAACTCTTAGAAAAAAGGGGCGAAAAGACGTACGTACAAGTTTTAACTGATTTTTTTCCTTCTATAACTATGTCGATCCAAATAGGAACGACCAAAGTGAAAACTACTGTGAAGCACGAACTTCCTGGGTGCCTTTTTCCAAAGGTTTTATCTCGCCACCATTATCATGCTCCTTTTGATCAAATTCTATTCCATGGAAGGTGACCCTAGATGACCGATACTGACTACCAAATGCGGTGCCAAAGCCCCATCCAAGGCCGACTCCAATCCCACAGCCACCACCTTCAAAGAAAAATATCCATGAGGATGACTAACTTAAAGGATAAACCGGATTTGTTACGATTCTACATTATAAAGCAGCATAAAGAGTAAATAGATCATCAGTTGAAGAATGATTTACCGGCACCAAGACCCAAGAAATTCAAAGGCGTTCCTGCAGAAAACAAACAATAGTTATAGATGATCTGGTCAGAAACAGCACACGAAGTTTTTACACCCCAGATGCTACTCTTTAATCTATAATGTCAGAAAACATCCAGAGTATAACTGATCTAATAGCTTATTCAAAAATAAATATGAAAATATCTTAACTGACTTAAAGCTTCATCGAGGCCTGATTTGTCGGGGACAGAGACAGTTAAGCAGTTGATTTGAATGTGATGGAAAGTAAAGAACTACTACAACCGTACCGCATGAATATGTGAGGATAACTCAAGGGACAAAGAATTCAATAGATCTGAATAATGTTATACAGCCAGCCCTCTTTGGTTTTTATACACAAAAAATAGAATCTCCTAGATTACACCTTATCCCATTATTCATGAGATATCAGGAAACTAACTGATTACCCTAATCCTAGGGCTACAAAATATAAAATTCAAACTTTCCTAATATATCCTATTTACAAAATCAATAAGATTGCGTTTTCCACACTCCCCCTCAAGTTGGTGAATAGGTGTTCACCATTCCCAGCTTGGACACAAAATTCTGAAACACTAAACTACTAAGTCCTTTCGTGAGTACATCAGCAAGTTGACCCTGTGTAGATACATAAGGTGTACAAATCAGGCCACTGTCTAGCTTCTCTTTGATGAAGTGTCTGTCGATTTCAATGTACTTTGTTCGATCGTGCTGTACTGGGTTGTGAGCTATGCTGATTGCAAATTTGTTGTCACAGTAGAGTCTCATTGGGCCATCCCACTTAATCTTCAAGTCTTCTAAAATAATCTTTCAACCATAGCAATTCACACACACCCTGAGCCATCGCTCGGAATTCGGCCTCTACACTAGAACGAGCTATAACATTATGTTTCTTACTCCTCCACGTCACAAGGTTTCCACCAATAAAAGTGCAATAACCAGAAGTTAACTGTCTGTCTACCACTGACCCAGCATAGTCTGCATCTGTATATGCTTCAAGCACTACTCCTCCATTCTTTTTGAACAAAATACCTCTGCCTCCTTCGGATTATGCATGAATTGACTAATCACACTTACCGCGTATGCTATATCTGGCCTAGTATGAGATAGATAGATAAATCTCCCCACCAAGCGTTGATACATCTCTCTATCCACTACGACATCTTCTTCCGCTTCTCCGAGCTTCAAATTTGGATCTATTGGAGTGCTTGTCGGCTTGCACGCGGTCTTCCCAGTTTCTTTGAGAAGATTTGTAACATGTTTTTGCTGTGAGATGAAAATACCTTGATTGGAATGAGCCACCTCGATTCCCAGAAAATACTTCAGCCTCCCTAGCATCTTAATCTCAAACTCTTTAGCTAAACATCGACTGAGACGCTGCCTTTCCTCATCATCATCTCCCGTCACTATTATGTCGTCAACATACACTATAAGGATTGTAACTCCCCATAAGGATGAGTGTTTGGCAAACAGTGTATAGTCTCCTTGACTTTGCCGATATCCCATAGTTGTCATTACCTTTGCAAATCTTCCAAACCATGCTCGCGGCGATTGCTTAAGTCCATACGAGGCCTTCTTTAATCTACATACTGTGTGTGCAGCTAAGTTGTGACCATAACTCAGTGGAACTTCCATGTAGATTTCCTCCTCTAGTTCTCCATGCAAAAACGCATTCTTGACATCAAACTGTTGTAGCTCCCAATTATAATTGGTTGCTAATGATAACAAAACTCTTATCGTATTCATTTTAGCCACCGGAGCGAATGTCTCTTCGTAATCAATCCCATAGGTTTGGGTATACCCCTTAGCAACCAACCTCACCTTGTATCTCTCTATTGAACCATCTGCCCTATATTTCACGGTGTAAACGCATTTACATCCCACTGGTTTCTTCCCTTCAGGCAATTTCACAAGCTCCTAAGTCTTGTTTTTCTCCAATACTTCCATCTCCATATTCATAGCTTGTCTCCATTTTTCATCAGTTAAAGCCTCAGACAAGTTGGTAGGGATGGCAATAGTATTTAGGCTGACAAGAAAGGCTTGATGGGAGGGTGAGAATTTTTCAAAGGAAAGAAATTGTGCAAGTTGTGGGTATAGAGGTCAACTTACACATTCTCTAACTCCTTTTCTAATGGCAATGGGAAGATCCTGATCATCATTATTTATATAGGTTTCAGAAAAAGGATTAGAAATTGTTATCCCATTTCCAGAACTCGGGTTAGAGTCTTGAACTTGCACAGATTCTGAGATAGCCTTCTTCCTTCTTGAAAACACTTTGCCTTTGCCAAATCTTACATTCTCAAGGGCATAATTTGGGTTGTCAGGCTCGGGTTCAATGGAGTGAGGCTCGGGAGGTTCGGGTTCAATGGAGTGAGTCTTGGGTTCAGGAGAGTGAGGCTGGGGAAACTCGGGTTCAGTGGAGTGAGTCTGGGGAAACTCGAGTTTTGATGGATGAAGATCAAAAGATAGAAAACCCCCCTATCTTTATCTTCCACTACTGAATTCTCCCCCTGAAGATAAGGATTAATGAAATAGGATTTGTCTTCATGGAAAGTAACATCAACCGAGACATAGAACCTTTTTGAGGGATGATGGTAACACTTGTATCCTTTTTGAGTAGAAGAATAGCCCACAAAAACACATTTGACTGCCCTGGGATCTAATTTCCCTCTGTTGGAGTATGGATATGGACAAATGCCACACACCTGAATATCCTAGGAACAAGATTATTCGTAATGCGTAGATTTTTATAGAATGAGGAAAGTACATCCATTGGACCTTTGAAACTCAAAATCCTAGAAGGTAAACGATTTATAAGATGTGCAGATGTAAGAACGGTTTCCCCCCAAAGAGATTTAGGCACATTTTTCCGGAACATAAAGGATCAAGTGGAATCAAGAAGATGACTATTTTTTCTTTCTGCCACTCCATTTTGCTGTGGAGTATTGACACATGATGATTCATGGATGATTCCTTCCTTTTGGAAATATGGAGTGAGGACTTGATTGAAATAGTCCCTAGCATTGTCTGATTTGAATCTCTTGATATTGACCCCAAATTGGGTCTTTACCATAGAGCAAAAATTTGGAAGGACATTACTGACATCGGATTTCTGTTTAAGCAAAAAAATCCAAGTGACTCGAGTACAATCATCAATAAATGAGACAAACCATTTTGCCCCTGTCACATTAGGAATACTAGAAGGGCCCTAAATATCAGTATGAATGAGACAAAAATGAATAGAGGTTCTTTTATTACTGATTGGAAAATGTACACGTTTGTGTTTAGCCAGTTCACATACTTCACAATGAAAATGTTCAATATCTAGACCTCTAAATAAGGAAGGAAACATAATTTTGATAATCCTAAACGATGAGTGGCCAAGTCGGTGGTGGTGAAGCCAAAATTTTCCTTTATTTGATGAGAGAACTTCTGAGACAAAAGATTGAGATGTTGTGCCCTTGGTAATGCTTGATTGACTAAGTGTTTCAAGAAGGTAGAGTCCATCCTGTTCTCCAACATGTCCAATCGTCCTCCCCGAACCCGCGTCCTGAAATAAACAATAACTATGGTGAAAAAACACCCTGCAATGTGAATCTTTGGTAAGCTTTTAGACAGAGACAAGGTTTGTGGTCAATCGAGGAACATGAAGAACATTTTTTAATGTCAATGACGGGCTTATTTTAACATCTCCTATGCCTGCTACAGTAGTTAATGATCCATCTGCTGTAGTTATTTTTCTACTGCTTGAACATGGGACATATGAGGCAAACATGTTTGGTGAGTGGGTCATATGGTCGGTAGCACCAGAGTCAATGACCCAAGAACCGGTAAGGGTTATATCTGAGACATTTAATCCAATGGAAAATGAAGACTTACCTGAATACGCCAATGAACAAGTACCTGAGGGTTTGTCGAGATTGCCTATAAGGGATCTTACTCGTTCGATTTCCTCTTGGCTGAGACTCCCGATCTCTTACAGTGTTCCCTCACTTTGCTGCCCCCCTGCAACATGAGCTTGTCCACGACTCTTCGGCTGCTCTCCTTTCTGCCCCCACTCGCGGCTTGGTGGTTTCCCATGCAGCTTCCAACACTTCTCACGGGTATGGCATGCCTTCTTGCAATAAGTACACCATAAAGTATCTTTGTAGTCTCGGTTTTGGGTCTTCTGCTGACCAGCCTTGACATTCTCCGGTGTCGGTGCCTTTTCTGCAGTCATGGCTGGGTTGCTACCGCCCCTAGCCAACATTGCCGAGCCATCAGTGTTCTTTGGTTCAAGCATTATTTCTCTTCTACTCTCTTCTCCCCGAATGATTGCCACCGCCTCATTGAAACATGGGACCTCTTGCTTTCCAAGAATCTGAATTCTCACCAAGTCAAACTCCGAATTGAGTCCAACAAGAAAATCATAGAATCTATCTTGCTTAATAAAGGCCTTGATAACTGCATCATCTTCGGGACACTTGGTTTTAATCACCCTATAATGATCGAGTTCTTGCCATAGGGCCTTCATTTGATTCGCATATTCAATGACCGTTCTTTCTCCTTGTCTCGCCGCCATTGTCTTCACTTTAACCTCATAAACTTGAGCCGCATCTCTTGCCTTGGAGTATGTTTGTTGAATTGCATCTCATATATCTTTGGCAGTTGCCAAAAACATACAGGTATCACTGATTTCTGGGGTTATAAAGTTCCACAGCCATGCCATAATCAGGGAATCCTCCTCATCCCATGCCTCAAACTTGGGATCCTCCAGTTTTGGTCCAGTCCCTAAAAGATGGCTGATTTTTCCTTTTCCTTTCAGCACTGTCCGAACCAATTGTGACCACTTAAGGTAGTTTTTTCCATTCAGCCTATAGGCAACCTGTATATTCTGCAGTTCTCCAACTTGCTGAGACCGTCCATTCTCTATCTCATCCAGCAACGTTGCAGCGGTTGTTTCTGCCACCTCCGACATCTTCCAAAGCAGTTTTGAGGGCAATTAAGGCCGGTCCTACACTGAAGACTCCACCAGCGATGAAGGCTGATTTGATTGGAACAATTTCTGGCAGCAACCGTGATAATTGACAGCAACCTTCCCTTGAGACAGCGACTTGATAACTCTGGCGATGAAGGCCGAACAAGAAAGCGATTCCAACGATGAAAGCCAAACAAAGAAACAACCCCGGCAATGAAGGCCGAACAGAAATCAACAGTAGCAAACAGAAGCAACGGGGCAGTTTTCGGTGTGTCCGTACAATCCCGTACAAATCCGCACAATTTCGTACAGTCCGTACAATTCTGTATAGTCCGTAATGGATATGGGCAATGAAGGCCTGTGATGAGGCTTGGCAATGAAAGCCAAGAAAGAAACGGCAATGAAGGCCTAAGAAATATGCAGCTTGATTAAGAAATATGCTAGGGAGGCTGAAGTATTTTTTGGCTTAAGGTATTTTAACACTCCCCCTCACGTGTGGGCTGGACAATGGGCAATCGTGTGGGTAAATTAATTAGAAAGCACAACACGTGAATATTTAAGCCCGAGATATATTAAAGACCAATCACATGATGACAATTTTAAATGGGGATAAAGAGTGCAATAACGGGGGTTTGAACCCAGGACCTCCCGCTCTGATACCATGTGGGAAAATAGGAGAAGAAAAAGTGTTTCTTATTTTTTGAATAATGCTATACAACCAGCCCTCTTATGTTTTTATACACAAAAAATAGAATCTCCTAGATTACACCTTATCCCATTATTCATGAGATATCAGAAAACTAACTGATTACTCTAATCCTACGGATACAAAATATAAAATTCAAACTTTCCTAATATATCCTATTTACAAAATCAATAAGATTGCGTTTTCCACAAAACGTTTAGAAATTCAAGGCTGCAAAATTATGCCAGCAGACCCGCCAATAGAACCCAATCTCCTTCTGGCAAAGAAGTACTTGAACTTGGAGGATACAAATTACAAGCAATAACTGGTGAACCCAAATACACAATAAAAAAAAATATTCAAGACCTATCCGGTAGCAGATTCGCTATCCAGTACCAAATACACAATAAGATTATGAGTTTCCTTCGACAGATACTTATAACTTGACACTATCATAGTTCCTAACTGTGAGTCCAGGAGAAAAATAAATCCATAGTTCTCTCAATTACATAAATAAATAATGCCTGTTTAACATGGGCTTCTCAACCAGATCATGCCAAACTGAAACAAGAATAAAGCATCTACAAATCAAATTTATTCCAGACATATATTGTTAAACAATACAACCTCCAAATAGTCTCTAGCAAATGTTCAAAGTGAAGTTTCATAAACGACTGTGTGCATTGAAATTGCGTAGTTTAAAAATCCATCTTTGATTTCTCATAATCAAGGCAACGCCCAATTTCTCAATTTCTTTTCCAACCTAGGTTACACAAATACATTCAATAGAAACCCATATTTCGGTTCGAGTACACAATAATTAAGGGCCGAGACTCCCCGTAACTTCAAAAAATCAGAGCTTTCAACACCAAGAAAATTAATTAACTAAATGTTGCAAAATCAAAAGCTTTTCAGAAATCGCAAAAAGTAAAGAAAGAAGTAAAAGGAGAAGCAGAGAACAGACCTCCGAAGCCCCATCCAACGCCGAAGCCGCAACCGACGCCGAAACCTAGAGCAAATCATTCTCAAACAAAATGAGTAATAATCACAAACAACACCAAAGTTCCAAAATTTAAAGCAAAAAAAAAAAAAGAAGAAAAGGAGTTCCAAAATCGGAACGAGAAATCAAAATCCGTACCAAATCCAACGCCAGCGCCGTTGAAATTTGTCAGCGTCATTACCTTCGTGATCGAACAGACAGAGTAGACGGAGGAAGCAGTAGACTAGACTCTAGTGATGACGGGAGAGGAGTAGGCGATGGTTGCCAATTCCCTACGTTTTTTTTTTTTTTTTTTTTGAATTTCAGCACGAATGACTTGTTGAAGGATTTTTTTTTTTTTAAAAACGACACAAGTTTTGCAAAACAATAAAAGTTGGCCGTTTTTATTTATTTAGTAATTAATTATTGATTGATTAACGGTACTGATTAACTCAACTGATTAATTCAATAGTCAATTATTAATTGATTTAAAGATCTATTGATAATTAATTTTAGTTTCACTGATTTTAAGTTGGGCGTTAATAATTAACGTAAATTAATTAGTAATTAATTATTTTCATTAGTAAATTACAAATTATTAGTGATAATTTATTAATAATAAATCAATTAATCACTTATTAACGGTGAGTCAGGGGTCAATCACTAAACAAAACACTAATTTCGTAAAATGAAAAAGTTCAGCCATTTAAAAGAAAAAAGGTGATAAAAAATATTCATTTAGCTAATTTTTTTTTTTTTTAGGCGTTCAACGATTAGTATTTTTTTATTTATTTTTATTTTTTAAAGATATATAATATTATGTGTTATTTTCACATTTAAAAATTGATTCGTAGTCCCTGTATAACCGAAACTGAACCGCCATTTTTCGTTTTAAGTCATGTTTAGATCTCGACCAAGACTCTCTAAGGTGTATCTCTGTTCTCGCCCCCAAATCAATCAGTGCTTCATATCTCTCATCTTTTACTTTACTTTCACTGACCATCGTGAGAGACTTCTTCTGTCGCAAACTTATCTCACCATATTTGTGGCGGTATCTCCCTCTCATCTCCATCGACTATCTCTCATTCCCATTAGATTATACTTCTAACTCACTTTTCTTCGTCTCGATTTTAGGTCTAGCATTTTCGATTTTGCGTTACATATTTATTAAACATGATTTCTTTATGTTGTTCAATGATGAATTTTAGTCCTAAGTTGGTTTGTTGAGATAGATAATGATTGCTTTTTTTTTGTCTTGAAGATGGAATTTATTCTACTTTATTACGGGAATGATTAAAGAATCCCATAATTATAGAATGAGATTTTCTGATATTAAGATAGAATATTTGCCATTCATGTTTGATTGATTGTAATCGTTTGACCATACATAGTTTTCTAGTATAGGCTAAGCTGATTTCCTACATATGTATATGCCTTCTCCTTTGTAATTATTCAATTCAATATACAGACAAAATTTATAATATTCAGTTTTCTCTTCATGGTATAAGAGAGCCGAACCTGGTGACAATGGAATTCTTCAAACACTTCCGCTTTACTGATCTTTTGTTAGAGCCGCTGCCATAACGGACAAAGGCAATGACGAAACAAGATCAACATCGTCTAAGGCTATTGTAGAAGCCTCAAACGCTTACTCTCTACATCACTTGAACCATCTAGGCATGATTCTCCTCTCCAAGATGCTTGAAGGAGACAACTACAATACATGGAATCGGGCTATAAGAATTAGTCTGAATGCCAAGAACAAGATTGGATTTATTACAGGTTCAATCAAACAACCACCTTCAACGAATGATAATTTTTCTGCCTGGCAACAATGCAACAACATGGTGATCTCATGGTTGTTGAATTCCATTCATCCAAACATAGCGAGCAACGTAATTTATACCAAAACTACAGCGGAAATCTGGGCATATCTATAAGAGCATTTCTCGCAAGGAAACGATTCAAGAATTTTCAGATTAAACAAGACATTGTGGGACATAGCAAGGGCAACAATCAGTCTCAGTTTATTACACACAACTCAAAACTTTTTGGGATTAACTCTCATCCTATCATGAGCCCCTAACCTGCTCATGTGGCGGATTGGAGCAACTCAAGAAAAAGGGATGAGAATGAGAGGGTTATGCAATTTTTCATAGGGTTAAACGAGAGCTATGACGTTGTTCGTGGCCAAATCCTATTGATGCAGCCCCTACCCAATACACATCAAGCTTATTCTCTTATTCTTCAACAAGAAAAGCAAGCTGAAGTCTCTCTCAACCGTGGAAATATGAATCAACATGCCATGCTTGCAGATCAAAACACCAAGACAAGTCAAGTAAATCAGGTTCAAAGGTAAAAGGCGCCACTACACTGCTCTTATTGTGATCGTGATTACCATAGCATTGAAAAATGCAATTATCTACATGGCTTTCCCGTAGGACATAAGCTCCATGGAAAGAATGTGAAGCCTCCTAATCAACGGGCTAACAATTTGAAGATGGAACCAAACAAGACATTGGATAAAGGAGCAAAATCTCTTCCAACAAACGACGAACCAAGGCTCATAACCGAAGAATACAACCAATTGATGGCAATGATTCAAAAAAACAATGATGGTAACACTCAACATTTTGCAAACACCACAGGTATTATCACACCATCATATTAAATTTCTCCGGTTGCACCACACTCAAATTTTTGTTGGATTATTGATAGTGGAGCCACAGATCATGTGACTTCCTCATTTAAATTGCTAAATACAAAAGAATTACCGAACACAACAATATCAGTTTGCCATATTATGGTCAGACATATATAGAATCAATTGGTTCATTACATATTACATCTCAAATTAAACTCGATGAAGTCCTCAAAGTTCTGCAATTTCAAGTTAATTTGCTATCAGTTAGTAAATTAACACAAGTATTGAATTGCACAGTAATCTTCTTTTCCAATGTTTGTGTTGTGCAGGACGCTGCTATGAGGAAGATTATTGGCCTAGGCAAGTATCATGATGGATTCTACTATCTATGACAAGACCACAATCCAGCCTTTGCCAATGTTATCTGCAAACATTCCAATCTTTAGCACTAACGTCTTGGGCATCCATCATCTTGTCCTCTTCAAGTTCTTAGCAAGACCAATCCTATAATTTATTTTGATTCTAAGCATGTTTGTGAAATTTTTCCTCTTGCTAAACAAACACGTTTATCTTTTCCGTCTAGTTCAATTTCTTCTCAATCACCTTTTGAATTGATACATTGTGACATTTTGGGACCACATCGAATAAAATCTCATTCTCGGGCTCATTTCTTTTTGACAATTGTTGATGATTATACTCGATATACCTGGATACATCTCATGAGTTTTAAGTCTGAAAGCCAAGGAATCCTATAGTCCTTTAGTTCTTGGGTGGAAACACAATTTAATCATAGAATCAAAACTCTTCAAACCAACAATGGCATTGAAATTTTTTCTATGAAAGACTACTTTGATAGTAAAGACATCAATTATCACACCTCATGTACTTTAACTCCACAACAAAATGGAGTCGTTGACAGGAAACATCGCCATCTTTTAAATGTGGGAAGGGCTCTTTGTTTTCAAGAAAACTTGCCATTAAAATTTTGGGAAGAAAGTGTTCAAACAGCTTGCTATTTAATAAATCGTTTACCCACACCTCTTATTTCTCATAAATCTTCATATCAACTACTTCATAACAAACCACACACACACAATCATTTTCAGACTTTTGGATGTCTTTACTATGCTACTAATCTTCAACCCACACATAAATTTGATCAAAGAGCCCTCCGCCGCATATTTATCGGTTATCCATTTGATAAAAAGTGTTATCGAGTTTATGATCTAGAAATAAACAAATTCTTTTCTTCTCGTGACGACGTATTTCATGAACATATTTTTCCATTCCATGATAATCCACAAGAAGAACAAAATGATGAGGTGGTACTTCCCTTGCCTCACATCTTAGAAGAACCAACCATCACAACAACAAGCACCCCACAAACCAAATATCCTTCTTTATGCTCGCCAGTGCCTTCCACAAATGAGACTATACCTAACTCTGACACTTCCAGACCAGCCCACCTCCTACCATACGCCGTTCTGATCGCATAAAACAACCAAGTGTCAAGCTCTGAAATTATCATCTCTACCACAATGCCACAGTTGCCCCTAGCCAATCTTCTTCCTTGTCCGGAACGCGTCACCCTTTATCCCGATTTGTTTCTTATGCACAACTCTCACCTAAATATCATAATTTTGCTTATGTTATTACTACGATTGTGGAACCTGTGACTTATGAACAAGAAGTGTTAGATCCGAAATGGAAGGAACCTATGGATGCAGAATTGACTGCTCTTGAACAAAAAAATACTTGGATGCTCACCCCACTTCCAATCGGCTGCAAATGGGTTTACAAGATTAAACATAACTCATATGGGATAATTGATCGATACAAAGCCTGATTGGTGGTAAAGGACTCAACGGGAAAGGATTGATTATAAGAAAATGTTTGCACCTGTGGCCAAGTTAACTATAGTTTGTTGTTTACTAGCTGTCGTTGTTGTTCGTAATTGGCCACTTCACCAAATGGATGTCCAGAATGCTTTCCTTCATGGTGATTTGCTTGAAGAAGTCTATATGCAGATGCCTCCTAGTTTTCATCGACAGGGGAGACACCTATGGTATGTCAACTCCACAAGTCATTATATGGACTTAAACAAGCCTTGTAGAGCTAGTTCCATAAATTTTCAAAAACTAAAGTTGTGATCTAACGGTGAGGGCATAAGCAGAAAACTAAAGAGATGCGATTCAACGGCCTAGATTCATCCATTCAAAATAAAGAAGTGACGTCTGGCAGGTTGAATTGATCAATGCGACTGTTGCCCTGCTCAAAAAGCATCTTCCGCGTCAGAACTATTATTGCCTAGAAAGCCTTAGGACTAGAATCCTTCGCAAGCAAGCCAACTCAGGAGAGGAGAGTTAAGGCGTAAACCCTACATGGTCAAAGCTCGAAGCAATTCAGAGGAAAGCCTCGACCTGGGAGACAAATGTTGTAGGGTAAAATTCTGAACCCTAAATCAGGCATTGAATGGGGCCCACGTGTTCCATAAGTGAGGGCATTAAATGTTCGGGGACAACTCAGTCTTAACCGTCACGTTGGATGGTAACTCTTTTAGGAGCAAACTGCTAGTTAAGGGTGTGGCATATATAGGAGATCGCTTGCTATGAGGAGATGCAAAGGACAACATGAGGTCGACCGCATCAACAATTGTAGGCGAAGATGGTTCT